TGCAAACAGTTCTGTTTTTTCTGACACAAGCAGGCCGTGTTTTACGTACGTGACGACTCCTCCTCCCTGACGCTCTCTCCTGTCTCTTCGAAACAACTGAAATCCTGGTAGCATTAATTCGCGGTCATCCACGTTTTCAGACAGCCAGGTTTCTGTCAGAGAGACAATGTCAGGGAAAGGTCACAGATGTGGATCTTCAGTTCGTCTAACTTGGGCAATATACTCTGCACGTTGGTGTAAATAAATGTTAGTTTCAGAGTTTTGGGGCGTTTGATTATGGTGCCGCTTGTGATCCCATTTAAGGAAGCTACTGTGCCCTCATCCGGATCTGTTCGGTCCAACGGATTAGGGGAGGGCGCTGTACTATCTGGTTGTTGTAGATCACAAGATCCGTCTCGCCATTCTGCAACCTTGTTCTCAGTTCCAGAACTAATTGTCGACGTTTAATTCTCTCTGACGGTGTGTAGTCCGGCTGAAAAAAAACGCCGCGGTTGGTTTCTTTGATTCGGAATCGTCGTGAGAGAATAAGTCCTACTTGCTCTTGGTTGGCTAACACAATATTGAGTGGTCGGAGACGTGAGTGCTCTGATATGTCGATTGAGCGCTTTCCAAGCCCAAAGGCCTTGAGAACCGAAACTTCCTCATTGGGGCGCAGAAGTTCGTTGAGTAGGCATTGGAAGAGTTGCAGGTCTGCCGAGACCCGCTCTTTGGAGGCACTAGCTGTGGATTCGGGAAGTCCCTGAATAATCAGACATTGTCCTCTGACCGGCGACACTCTCGAGAACACAGTGGCTTCGTGCTCCGACATAGGCAATATGTGGTTGCCATGATCTGACGAGGATATAAGCTGCAGTCGATTAAGATCTTCATTCGTCTCTGTTTTGTTTGCATTTTCATCAAAGTCGGAAGTTTTTTGCGATAGGTTGAGGGTTTTAGGACCCATGTCATTTCCCGTGATGGGCGACACGGACGCCGACGTCCCTGGTTCCGGTTCTTCGGAGGCATTCCTCGGAATCTGCTGTGCATGTCCTTCGACCCTTTTGCTGCACGATTTCTTTTTTTCCTCTGGTTTTTTATCGTTGCTTCGTTGGTTGTTGTCGTTTTGTATTTTATGTGTTTGTGCTGGGTGTGCCGTAACAGCTGCAGAAGGTGTTGATGGCGTATTTTTTGTGCGACGCCCTTTGGCCCTACTTCTAGTTATTCGGCCAACAAGTACATTCGCATCGTCAAGTGTGTCTAGTTTTCATTGAAGAAGAGTTTTCATCTTTTCCATCTCTTCCGCAAGGCGGTTGATTTTGCCGGCCAATATCTCGCATCCACTGCAAAATCGATCGGTATGCGGCACGCATTTACTATCAAGTAAACTTTGCGATATCGCTCGCGTCGTGCCGCGGTGGCCAAGGGGTTAGCGTGCGCGACTGAAATGTCAACGGTCGGTGGTTCGACTCCGTCATGCAGCGTACTACTTTGGCTGGCTGCGCAAATCGTCAGTATGTAGTGCACTTATGAAAAACGGACAAATCTGCAGGAATAACAAGCTATTTCCTAAGGCGAAAGCGAAACTGTGGACAGTGTCTATGCTTATGCTGGATACGCCGAAAATTTCCAAGGAACGCTTTTTTCAGGTAAATCTATGGTAAAGTGAGACAACTCGAGTTGTCCGAATTTAAGCAGCACAGCAAGCAGTGTGCAAATATCGACTCAGCCTTTTCGTAGATGTTGCTCCTAACTTCGGCGAGCAATTTGAGTCAGTGTATTGTATGGGTAGGCCCTGTAGACAAGCCGAGATTTCCGACAGAAAGACCGTTTTTGCTGAAGTTTGTTCTGATCGAACGATTCCCTAATAGCAATGACTTGCGAATCGAGACTCGCTGCTCGCGTCTTGCTCGCAACTGGCCTCTGATTGGTTGACTGCAGCCGTATCGGCATTTTCCCAGGGGCGCGCATGAGTGAGCGTACACTGATATTGGTATCGATTTTTATCGATAGCACGGCGTGCTTGCCTGGCGTGGTCGCCCCTGCAGGCGCCCATGGGCGTCACTTCCTGCCTTGCCACGCTGCTGAGCGCACGCAGAGCTGTCCTGAGCTTTACCTTTTCTATTAACCCATAATATTGTGTTTATCCGTTTCCTTTTCTTCATGTTCGGACCAATCTGTCGGAGAACTTATCGTAGGCGTGTCGATAGGGAGTTTAAAAGTCGTATCCTTGCAATTGCTGCGATAATGAGGGAGAAGTACCCCCCAAAGTCATCATCTTCGTCGACAGTTTCATACACAGGCTCAGAGTCAACAGACACCCCTATTTCCTCTTCGGTGGACACATCGACGTCGATGAGTGAGCAGTGGTAAAGTCCATTTGAAGAGCGTCCCGTGTCTCTCCCAACTGAAGTGGAGTTAACCTCACGAGACGTGCTGCGATCCTGGGCAATCAGTTCCGAACTACCTCACCAGCATCTGACCAATCTGCTGAAGGCGTTGAGGCAGATGACGCCAGAGGAGCTGTACAGCTTGTCCTTGGACGCACGAACACTTTTTGGCGAAGCAGGCGATCTGCCACCGGTAACGGCATTGGGCGGCTGTGAGTACGTTCACTTAGGACTTGTAAAGCAGTTGACTGAGCAGTTACGTGCCTTTTCCATGAAGGTGGTTGGTAAAGAGATAGTAGGTTACTTGGCCATTGACGGTCTTCCTATTCACAAGAAGACCAAAAGAGAATTTTGGTCAATTTTAGGCAGAATTATCCAGCCATTTCTTAGTCATATTTTTGCTGTAGGAGTATCGATGGAGATAGCTGGAGGATTGTTGTCAGAAAGGCGTTTTATAATCCAATTTTTGGTGAAGGACAGTCGTTTTCAGTGAAGAGACTCGATTGAGAAACTTCCGTCTTGCAACTCAAAATTCAAACCGCGCGGCGTCGACCGACAACGACGAAGGTGTCATCGACATAGCGGACCCAGAACTTTGGTTGATACTTGGTGAACACCAAGTGTTCTACCCGTTGAAGAACTACTTCAGCGGACGAGACAAATCCGTGTAGCCTGGAATTATGAGTCAACATTGTTGACGTACTTGCTTCCTATCAGTAGGCGTGGTTTTATTAGGTTTCATACTTACAACTGCCAATTGGGCGAAGGAAGGGCGGTTATGCTGTAAAGTCCTTCATGTTATTGCTGCAGCTATGTTTGTTTTATTTGGCGTACAGGGTCTGTCAGGATGACTTTCTCCTTCACTGTAACCGCCCCGAGAACGAGGCGCTGTAAGACTGTCTATATGGGCACATTGCATTGCACCCCCCACACGAAAATCTTCAGTAAAAGGCGAAATCCTTGACCTTTGCGGATTGCGATTCACCACACTCTATACATTATGCTTCTACCTGCAAGCTGCTTCAGTCGTGTTAACAGGCTAATACCCCCCACCCCGCTGCCTTTACGAAACTGCCGGGTTGTATTTGATCGCTGGGGGGCCTCCCATATCGCGTTCCATGCGGCTACCGCGCCAGTTAGCTAGGCGCGTAGGCGTGGGGTGCACTTAATCGGCGCAGGTTTGCCTTTCGTGGCTTACCCATATAGACGTTAAACCCGGTCACTGGCTTCCTGTGTGGTCTACTAAGGCCGCTTGCCGCTTGCTTTCTTTGCCTGCCGTACGGCTCATTTCCCCGCCCCTTCACCCCATCACAGCTGGCTTTGGAACGGCTACCCAACAATAGGGCTTCGGCTTTGCTTTGCACTTTCACGGACTTAGGTGTACGCCCGGGCCTTGGGATTTCTGTGCGGTCTCCTTCGATCGCTTTCCCTTTGCGCGTCGGCCGATTTCGTACGTCTGTGCGGTTGGGCGGTTTGGCCGCCTTTCGGCGACCAGTAGGTTTGGCTTTCCCGTTTTACGTTCACCATTCATCGGCTTGACGGTTAGCGTACTTACGAAGTAGCCGTTGGATTGGTCAAGACCGCCAGCTAGGGTTTATCATCAATCCCTTCAAACATTACGCATTCAATCTCGGTTGGCGCATTTTTGGCTGGGGTTATGGGATTAAACGGGAACAAAAGTTCAGAGGTATAGTAAGGAATTCAATATTTATTTGCGGAGTATAAAAGAATTACAAACTTTTCCCGCTGCACCCGTTCTCAATGGCCAAAATGCCCATTGCCTGGCCGTTCGGCTGTTCGGTCTGACTGTTTTTACAGTGGCCGCTATTATTCAACTAGGTGTACAACATCATTAACATGTTGCTGCCTACCTTTCTGGTCAGCTGCAAATTATCTCGGTTTCCGATTGCGCTTCCGATACTGCATAGGCCTGAGCCACATGGGACAGGAATCTTTCCCAGGACTCTGCCAAATTACTTGCTTACAGTCCGAACCAGCAGTCCTTTAGCTTGCAAATATTGCGCTAAATACGGGGACTGGATAATATCCAGGATCTGTCCAACCTCCGATGGATTATTTGCTGCGGAGCGGCCTTCCGCTTCTTCTTTGCTGTCCGTGGGAAACGTTTGGTAATTATTGAACAAATTAATATCAACAGCTTCAGTCCCCTACGTCCTGCGTATTTTGCATTCATACTTACCGTTGCTCGGGTTCACTTTCCACCGCCCTGCTTGTCGTTGGCATTTAACTAGGATTCATCATCTGTGACAGTATCGTCTGGGGCACCTTCAGCGGAATGGCTTTGGCCTTGGGTATCTTGTTCTTAATGGTTACAGCTTACTTTTTGAAATTTTCGGCACATTTTCCAAATCAAACAAATTTAAATATTAACTTTCTAAACCCTTTTTTTACTTACTTTTTTAACTCTTCGCTGCGTTCCCCATTTTCCCCACCTCTAAAACCCCCTCTTCCCACCCATCCCGTATGACACCGACCTTCCGTTCGCTTGCATAGTCCAGGCTACATACAATTGTCCGACCCTTCAGCGATTAGGCCTGATATAGGGGAGCCCATAGGAGTGCCTTTTATTTGTTCGTACATTTGTCCGCCGAAGGTGAAATAGGTCTTGCGACATTATCGCAGAAGCTCGAGCAGATGCTCAGACTTCAGGGGTTTGTCTCTCTCCTCATAACGCTCTGCCAGTAGTTGGTCCACAACGTCCATCGCTAGTTGCTGTGGAATGGAAGTGAAGAGCGAAACGACATCAAAGGATACCATGGACTCGTCTGGCTCTAACTCCAGATGTTTTATGCGTTCGAGGACTTGATGCGCAGATGCTACTCTTGTTGGTGAGCCTTCGGCCAAAAACTTAAGACGACCGAACATCCATTTTGTTAAACTGAACGTCGGAGTGCCACGAGGGGATACGATTGACCTGAGCAGGACATTTGCCTTGTGCACCTTCGGTAGACCGTAGAAACGAGCCGTGGCGGTGTCAGTGGGTTTCATGGAGAACCATTCGTTGTGTGTAATCGCCTCCTTGGCCCTGAGATTTCTTAGGCCTTTGTTTATCCGAGTGATTAGATTATTCATTTCGAAGGCACGGCATTGTTTGTGTGAATGCTGGTCTTCCAGTAAGTCCTCTACCCTGTTCTGGTAATCCGATTTGTCCAGCACAACTGTCGAACGTCCTTTGTCAGCTGGCAGAATAATTATGTCCTTGTTTGCTTTTAGGCTTTTCAGTTCTCGCTGATCCATATTGCCAAGAGTTTCGCACCTCCTGTGTCGCATTAGCAACGAGGAGGTTTGGTGACGGATTAAATCTTTCGTCTTTTCTGACGCCTTTGTTAATTGAAAAACAGACTCGAATGCGGCAATAAACACTCTGACGAAGCATCTCCTGTGTTAAAAGTGGCTTCACGTTCCAGAATTGCGAGTTGTGTGTCTGTAAGGGTTTCAGATGAAAGGTTGTGGACAAGGACGCCTGACGAGTTGTCGGAGCTTGGTACTCGAAGTTTTTCCAATTTTATAGATAATTCCTTGCCGTTTTTGACACGTATATTCTGAGCATGTCTGAGAATGGTCAGCTCCATATTCTTCGATTCTTCACTGACAGCTCTCCAGAGATAACACTTAGACTGGTCCATCTCTAAATTGTAGGGTTTTATTCTTTGATGGCAATCGTGAATGAGCACTTTTGTCATTCTTCTGCCAAGTGGGGCTACAGTCTCCCTTGCCAGAGCAGAATACACAGGAGGCGTGTAAGTGAAGCAATTTGGGGTCAATTGGTTGTCAAGGCAACGTTGGTGGAAAGGCAGTTGTGCTTGAGATGACGCAATCCGCAGGGCGAATTTTTCCCAACGGCGCGCTGCACGGAGCACTGAAGGCTCAAAAAATCTGTTCAGATTGGCAAAGTTGAGATATCCGGGTTAATTATTTGAAGATGAAGAAAGGCTCTCCGTAACAGGTGTATTTATGTGCCGACGTTTCGAAGAGCTGGGTCGGCTCTTCATTGTCAAAGCGTAAAATGCACTTAATCGATCAGAAATCTAATTTAAAGTGGCATGCTGTGTTGGCCGGCCTCATGCTGATCTATTTTTCTCTCCTCTCGCTGCCTCGGCCACTCGGGTGGTGGTTGGCGAGCGTTTTGCCTGTGTGCTTTGTGAGTCACCACTCCGTCGAGGGGAGCAGAATGGATGTTTGTCAGGCGGTCGGTCTGGCGGTTCCCCTTCTTCCTCACCGAGTAAACTCAGCTTCGGGCTATCTCCATACGGCCTTATAAGTCCGGCGTACAGGGCCATTTCTTACGTTAAAGTGGTCTCTGAAGCGGTTTCGCGAAACACACTACAGCACGCCAAAAGATAAAAGGGGCGAACGATTGTACCTTGTGAACCTATTTGCAGCCATTGGTTATCCCAGACACTTCATCGAGAGAAGCAGACGTTGGGCGTTAGGACGACGGCTAAATGAGCAGCAACCCGAAGTCTGGAGGGACATTCCTTACTTTAAAGTGGTCTCTGAAGCGGTTTCGCGACTATTACAATCCACCAGAGTAGGCATAGCCCATCGACACAAGCACAGTTCGACGTCGCCTAAGGACCCATTGCCACCCGCTGAAAGCTTAGCAGTCATCTACAAAATAAATTGCAATGAGGACGCCTGCAACTATGTGGGCGAAACTGGGCGGAGATCGCAAACTCGCCTACAAGAACACAAATCGGCCACTCGGAGGTTAGACCCTAACTCTCAACTGGCAAACCCCCGTTGGAGAAACGGGGCATACTTTTGACATCCAGCGGGCTACCATCTTAGGCCGAGGCAACGCAAAAACAGAACGGCTAACTCTCGAGGCGTGGTTTTTCCATGTCCACTCTATCAACAGGCATCTGGACCTCCCGGCAGCTTACAAAGTCCTACGTCATCACAATCGTAGAGCTCAGGACCAAAAACCACATCGGACTTACGAAGGCAGTACGCAGATAGACCGACGCTGAGTTTACTCGGTGAGGAAGAAGAGGAACCGCCAGACCGACCGCCCGTCAAATGTCCAATCAGCTCCCTTCGACGGAGTCGTGACTCACAAAGCACACAGGCAAAACGCCCGCCAACCACCACCCGAGAGGCCGAGGCAGCGTAGAGGAGAGAAAAATCGATCAGCATGAGGCCGGCCAACACAGCATGCCACTTTAAATTAGATTTCAGATCGACTAAGTGCATTTAACGCTTTTACAATGAAAAGCCGATCCAGCTCTTCGAAACGTCAGCACTTAATTACACCTGATACGGTGAGCTAATATTCATCTTCAAAAAATTAGTGTTTTAATATCGACGAATTATCGCAAATTATTTCCTGCTAGGCTCTTCAACTGACTGATTATTCTCATTCTCCTCCTCCTTCTCCTCCTCCTCCTCCTCCTCCTCCTCCTCCGCCTCATCCTGCTGCTGCTGTTTAGACTGTGCTTGACATTTGTTCAGTTTTATGAAACAATGTGGCTGCATAGGCGCGTTCGCCAGCCAATCTCCCATTTCTACGCGTCCTCAGACATAATCGGGAGGGGGGGGGCGGTGTGGTGGGCTGGACTGGCAGGTGGACCCCGAACTGGAGACAGGTTTACGGACCGTCACTAGATCTCCTCAGACCGCAGAAAGGTCACATCTTGTTCTTGGCCCCTTCGAGCACACCTCAGACATAAAGGGCATTTTGGCAGACAGCTCGTGCCTTCACTCAAGTTCTCCTCTGTGGCTTTAAACCCTGCTCACGTGCGTTCAGGTGAAATGATGCGATCGTTAACAAACCTAAATTAAGTGGGCTAACTCATATAAGCTCGGATGAAATTTCAACAGAAATTCCGAAAATTGTTTCCGTTTCGAAAAGATTAATTAAATAGGTTTGTAAAACCAATCGTCGTGCAGCATAATTATATAATAATTCAGTTACCCCAGGACGCCGGCTTTCGAAAAAACCTCTTTCCGGCTTCATCCAAAAACCAGACTCCGTAAAAAATGACTACTTATGTAGCATGCGTTTTTAACTGATTTTCGATGCCCTTAAAGATTCAATTATATATCACGGAAAAAAAATGCATAAAATGTTCATTCTTTTGCTCATTCGGTAGAAATTACGTCTTTCAATTTTATACTAAAAGGAAGGGTTAAATTCGGTTTTATGGAACTTTTCCAATTCCTGAATAATTTTGAACCCGACCTGTCGTTTCACTTGCATTCAGGGTTCCCAAACTACAAGCCGAATAATTTCCGCGTATGAAAAACCGTACATTCCTCCACCGCATTAAGAGTAGACCATATGGGGTTCATTAAATGAAGCAGTGGATTTGAGTCGCATTTTTAACTTCACAAGCCACATTGGTAAATACGGAGACATGACGTTTTATGAAGGGCCATTTCACGGTATTAAAAAACCTCACAATTCGAAACTTTTTAAGAACTGAATTGAATTCTTCCTTCGAGTGTAAAATTGTAGAAAACTTGATCTTCTACTGGATGAGCAAAAGAATGAATATTTTTACGCATGTTTTCCATGAAATATAATTGAATCTCTAAGGGCATCGAAAATCAATGAAAAAATGCATGCTACTTAAGGAGCCATTTTTTACAGAGCGTGGTTGTTGTATGCAGCCGGAGGGAAGTTCATTCGAAAGCCGACATCCGAGCGTAACTGAATAATTATAGAATTATGCTGCGCAATGATTGGTTTTACAACCCCACTTAATTAATCTTTTCGAAACAAAAAAGGCATTTCGGAATTTCTGTTGAGATAACCTGAGTTAGTCCACCTACTGTATGCATGGTTTGTAACGGAGAACTGGCGTGTGTCCGGGTGTTGTTGTGCAACACGTGGGCCTTAAGGACTGTGTGCGTATGCTATGCCAAAGCTTGGCCCTCTCAGTCTGGTGTGCGCTGGCATTTCTCTGGCATATGGTACTCTACCGTTGGATTTGCTGGCGCTCTGCGGTACATGACTGCTCAGTGACTTGCGTCATCCTCTCCTCTTACTGACCCATTTTTATTGTTGTTCAAAATGCTGGTCAAGTGATTTTTGTAGACCAGGGGCTGCGGTGGTACGCCAGGTTGCGGATCCGGCCGTGTCAGCCATCTGCGCCCTCTCCCACCTCCGGCCTTCTTGATTATGTCTTGACACCGAGCCAAAGTGGGGGAGGAGGAGGAGGAGGAGGAGGAGGAGGAGAGAGAGTGTTGGATGCTGCGTAACTCTACCCTCACTGACAGAAGCGAACAGGCGAGTTACAGGTAGCAGTTCAGAAGACAAAGATGCGATCACTGGAACAAGAAATTTATTCGCCTTACGTTTCGGATCCTCACTCTTCCGTACGTGAAGAACGTCTCAGAAGCCATCAGTCGTCTTCTCACACTAATTGGAGTTGGGGTTGGACACAGGCCGGAAGCAACCATTTGGCGGCAAGTCATGAGGCCGAAGGACCCGGCCATATTTTCAAGTTTAAAGAGGTCGAAATCCTCGACAACCGCGTGAGCCTCGAACTGCTCGAGTCGTGGTTCTCAGGCCAGCAATCCATCGACAAGCGCAATGACCTCCCGTTACCATATTCCGTGCTGAGATTTTCCCTGGGCAGGGGAATTAGTCACGTGGGGAAGGCGCGGGCCAGCAATTATCCCAGTGACAGTGAACCAATTTGCCGGTCAATCGTCACACCAGCATCAAACACGGATGACGAAATCACGGCGATTAACGACTCGGACGCGGACTGACAAGCCACCACCGCATCAATTAAGACCCCAGTGTTGATTACGAGTGCTGTTAATTTCGGTGCGCATATGGTCCTACGGCAGCCGCGTTCTATAAATACTGCACTCCTTGTGCCACCATTACCCTTATCTGCGACTGTCTCTGATGATGGGTTCGAATGAGAATTCGAAACGTCAGGCCAATAAATTTCTTGTTCCAGTGGTCGCATCTTCGTCTTCTGATCTACCCTCACTATAAACTAACCCACGCGCAAGTCATCGTACCTCCTCTCATTTTGCTATGAGACACACGGTGGACATCGTCGGCCACGACAGTGGTAGGTAGGACGCGTTGTGGTGATTTTGGAGTTCCAGTGAGTATTTTCGTGGATGCGCACATGGCCGTGTAGACGTATGCGATGACCTAACATCCTGAGACGGCGTGCTCAGGTGAGGCGGAAGTGTATATCTAAGGTCTGGCATTAGTTCGCCTGTCCCAGTGAGATGGATTTACGAATGAGCGACCAGGTCAATGTTTGGTATGGGGTTGCGACCGCAATGGGGTCAAGTTGGGACTGAGTTTGCATGGCAACCGTTGACTACGGTCGTGCTGTTAATGAGAGTGGAAGAATGAGCGAAAATGTGGATGGGGTTACTTCCGCGACGCTGCTAGTGATGGCGACGGTCTCTGCTGCAATTGATTATCGGGGCGTGTTGTCATGACAGAGTAAGCGTTTGATTGTCTAATGGGGACTAATAAGCCACTAGTGGTTCCTCCGGTCACAAATGACTTCGTATGGAACAGCTAGCGGACACTGTTCAATGTTAATCAAATGCTGACAAAGACTCCCTACTGGGATTCCGTGCAAATCGTCCTTGCCCGCATGCCGTCGCACATAATGGCTGCACATCGATCAAGTCATTCTCACATAATCCGAATGAACAATTCTGATGGCTTCGAGTTATTCCGATGGGCCAGTATTATAAATCACTAGAAAATGTTCACTGCAGACTTTGCTTCACATATTGCCAGAATAGAACGTGAAGTGAAACTGCATGCTGGGAGTTCCGACCGATCAAAAAGCGATCGAAATAACGCCAACAGCAGAACATACTTTCATTAACGTATGAATTTCATCGTAGCTCAGATAGTGACGATTTTTTTATTTTATAAGGTTTAATATCATTCCTAATGGACGTGTGACGTCGAGATTAATAAAAAATCTCAGAAGCAGAACTGTATCAGTGAAACTCCAAAATTCCAAGAGAAACTCTTTGGGCTACCCATAGCCAGGATGTAAACAAATAAACAAAAAACCTACTTCGAAGGTTGTGAATATTATGGTTAAAAACATGGTCTCGGTTTCATGCCGATTAGAAGTTCACTTGCGCAACTGGCATCTGTAGTATCAACTTTATGTTTCAAGTGGGTATATTGGCTAAAGGTTTGCTTTTCAACTTGATGGGAATTTGCACTTTTTTGTGTACAATTTGTTAGGAAAGTCGACAAGAAGGACTGAACTAATACAAAATATATTAGATTGCCTAGCATTAGTGATTCGTAGTGCATCTAATTTGCCGTCGTAAGAGATGGAGAGAGAGAGAGAGAGAGGGAATTCATGTGCGCACGGCGACCTGACAAAGTTTGACTGTTAGACAAGGGTCAAGAAACACTTCAAACTCCGTGCCAAATCAGCCACCAGACGTTAAAACCTTTGGCAGGAGGACTGTCTCGTTGCGTCGGGAAAACCGGAGTCAGACATAAAAACACACGATGAGAGAATATATCATGGGGGTGGAGGTTAGCTGTTTAGCAGACGACGTGGTTTTCAAGACCCCATTTTGGCGTAAAGGGGTTAACAAAAAACTGAATTGAAGCATATTGTAGAAGCCTGGGTAGTCGGTGTGCCTTGACACCTCAGCGGACGCGAACGACGATGTCCACCTAGTGACCAGAGCAGGGTGGGCGCAAGGACGGTGACTTGCGCAGCATCTGCCACACTCTCACTCCCCTCACCCACCTGGGCCCGGTGTCAATGAAGAAGACCAGAGGTGGGTTCGGGCGCAGTGAGTGACAAAGTTAAACAGCTCGCTTAGGCGTGCTACACACGTTGCGCCTGCACACGATGAACCAGGTTTTCACAGAAGCAGCAAATGGGCGGTTCGATTATCACCTGAGTGGGAGTTTCATAGAGGCCATAGTGAGCAGGAACCATTGCAGCCCGACTCTACGTTCTGCTTAGAGGAACGTGTTATCTCGTCATTCGGCGGTCTTCCGAGACACGATGTTTAGCACCCAATGTTTTGCGTCCGATTTTTTGTGGTAGTGACTGTGCACTGTCTGCAATGCGGACGGGTCGCCCGTCTGGGACCGAGTGTCCGGCGCGGCGTGAGCCTGCGCCCAAACGTGCCATCATCATCATCACCACCACCACCACCATCCCCAGTGTGACATTTACGGTGGGTGATCTAATTCACGAAATGTATCGAAATTTACGGATGACTGCTAATCGCTCGCAAACCGACAGCAATCCGTTGACCCAATATATATGTTAATAAAGCTCAACTTTAAGAGAATGTAAAGCATATAATAAAGTGTAAAGGCAATGTTGCTTA